TAGTAGGTAAGTTGGTTTACCTGTAAGGAGAATTTTATCACACCTTCATACCTGGTCATCTTGGCATTTGTAGCAGGATGTTAACAGTGACTGCCTTCAGTATACTGTATTTGCTGTGATGGTGAGTTACCAATACTGGATAGCTCAGTCAGTAAAGCATGAGATTTTTAATCTCAGGTTTGTGGGTTCAAGCCCCACATTGGGCAAAAAGATTCCTGCATTGCAGGTTTTTGGACTAGATAGTCCTTTCCAATTCTAGAAATCTATGTGTGTTCACACTCCAAAGAAAACAGAATTAGGATAATTGTGGAAAAACATGTTCTGCGATTAAAGCAGAAGTAGCTTTGTGTTTCCTGTAATTCTTTTAAATGAGTTACCTCTATCAGAATTGAGTTGGAAGGGATGCAATGGGTCACCTAGTTCAACCCCTGCAGGGTAGGAATATGAATAAGCCTAGGTAACAATTTTGAAGGCTAAAGGTAGCATAGAGCCCTGCAGTCCCACCTGAAATTGCTAATTCATTAATATACCAGGGATTCCTATTTTAACTTGCTTAAAAATATATGGGTATTTTAAATAGCTGCTGGTGGTTTGGACTTCCACAGCAAAAAAGAAAAGAAAAGCACATTGCTTGTGAGAACAGATGTCAGCAGTAAGTGTAGCTGCAAATGATCGAAGTTCAAATGTAAGCTGTGTTACTTTTTAATCACTGGCTTTGTATGTGATGTTAAATTCTGGCGGATGAGGAAGCCTCGCCTGTCATTGTGCCATTGTTGGTAGAGGAGCTTCTAACACTGCTGTTTCCATTTGATCTCTCTTCATCTGTAAAAATTGCATTTTTTGATGCTCTGTTTTCACTCCGTACTTGGGTATGGATATGAGCCTCTCTCCCTGTCACATGGGTGAGCATGAAGGAAGATGTGTCAAATTTGCTGAGTTGAAATATTGGGATTTTTAAATTGTAGCTGTCGGTCTTACATTTTCTTGCAGTTTGGGATTTTTTTATCATGTAATTTTAGGTGTTGAATTGTGAAGTTGTGAAAACACACGCACAACACGCATACGTATTGATAAGTAGTGATTATTTTAACATAGCATTGTCGGCATTACTACCAGAAATCTGTCTGCACTCATGGAAAGAGTACACAAAGAACTTGGGAGGAAGAACATGAAAGGACATACTGTGGTATTGGCTTCCTGTACAAATTTGGACGATTGTGACACCACTAACATCTTTATACACATGTGCCAATAGTCATAACACTTAAGAAAGGTGAAAATACTGGTCTGTTGTCACTTGCAGTAGAGACTGGCTACCTTTTTAATGGCTATCTAATGATTAATTAGATTGTCATTTCTAAGTAACAAATATGGAGGTACACATATGTTGCCTACCCTTGGTGGCTAACCCAAAAAAATTAAAGGCCTACCCATATGTGGGTCTTGTCTCTGACTTTGTCCTGCATCTCCAAAACACAGCATGAGACCAGAGACTAACCCCTGCTCCCTGCTCTAGCCTGATAAGATGGGAAGTGGTAGATTTGAAGCAATCTGGAAAAAAGGTCCCAATTCCCCTCCATCTTAAAGCTGGAAGGAGTGTAGAGACTTGCTTTGGTTCTGGGTTTGGCAGAACCCATAAGCAAATCCTAGGCTTCCTTACCACAACTTTGGGGCCAGAGACAAATTGAATCCCCCCCCCCCCGGCTAGAGTTGGGAAGAAGCCTAAGACTAAGTACTTGCCACGGCAAGAAAATTGTAGACCAAAAATATACTTTAGGGACAGGTGTTCTTCATGCATGACTTGGCTTAGTGTGGTGTGTAAACCAGGCCATTGAATAAGATGGAGGTGTTTATACAGCAAAAGTGCTTTGAGAATAGCTCTTTGCTAGTCTAATTTAGTTTCATTTATAATATAACTCTAGTTCCTTCTTTCATTTTATAGCTATATTTTCCCAAACCAGAGGCATATACTTCCAATATATTAATGCTAAACATCTGAAACTCCTTTTATAGTATGATGGTTAGGGACTTTTGTTCTTTCACGCCAATAGCTGACAATTGCAGGAGGGCTCCTGTCCTCTTCATTGTAGGGTTTGCATGTAAGGATCTGTTTAAGCAATTGTTAATTAAACTAGTATAGTGGTACCTTGGTTCCCAAACGGCTTAGTTGTTGAACATATCAGCTCCCGAACGCTGCAAACCTGGAAGTAAGTGTTCCGGTTTGTGAACAGTTTTTGGAAGCCAAACGTCCAATGCTCCTGCAGCCAATTGGAAGCCGTGCCTTGGTTTTCGAACAGTTTCAGGAGTTGAATGGACTCCCAGAACGGATTAAGTTCGAGAACCAGGGTACCACTGTAGTTCAGAATTGCTTTGTGAACAAGCAGCCCATGTTTTTACAATGGTGGAGAATCCTAGGGTGTTGGTTGCATAGGCATGGTTGCTCTCATGAGGCATTCACAGTTCACTGTGCCCTTATGCTGGATCTCATCATTGTACATGGCTGTTGCTGGTGGGATGAAATGAATTAATTAATTAAGGGATTCTACAATAACCTGTTTTACTGGTGAGGCTGCTAGAAGCACTAGGCTGTGCTCATCAGGCTAATGGTTTCTGTTGTTGTTGGGACAAAGCTAAAACTTTGCTTATCTCAAGAGGAGGAAGAGTTGACTTGAGGCCCTCACTAACTTGCAACTTCCCTCCTTTAATTAAACAAACCAGCAGCTAAAGTGCTGTAAAGGGATTGTTACTCTAGGACAGGGGTGGCCAACTCCCAAGAGACTGCGATCTACTCACAGAGTTAATAACTGGCAGTGATCTACTCCCTTTTTTGGGGTTCTGGTCAAAGTTGTTGAGTTTTTTCAGGGAGGAGGTAAAATGTTGAGCTTTCTTTAGGGGAGCCACAGTTGTTCAGCTTCTTTGGGGGGATCCAGTGATCTACCAGTGATCTACCGCAGATGTCCAGTGATCTACCGGTAGATCACGATCTACCTGTTGGACATGCCTGCTCTAGGACAACGGTGCATTATAGATAATCCATAACTCCTTGGTTGGAAGCTACTAAAGCTGGAAGCTCATTTTGAGGAGTCAATGCAAGGTTGTGTGCAGAGTTCCACGCCTGCGCCACCAAAATTAACTGCACTCTTTCCATGCCCTGCACGTACGGAAACCAGACATTAGCCAGCTTTTATTAGACTTGCTGCATCTCCCATCCTATATCCCCATCTCTTTTTTTACCTCCTCATTCCTTGATGGAACAGTAAACGGAGGGCAGTTCCAATGTATTTCTAGTTTTGATAAAGCAAGTCCCCACGGAGGACCCCATACAGCTGAAAGAAAATTGCAGAGCTGCTGGTGGATGGCTTGTTGGCTGCTGAAAGGCAGGAGGCAAAGGATACAAATTCTGCTGCCTTCTATCTAAAGTACTCTACTTTATTAATTGGTGCGATTGGGAGCAACTCCAGCTTTGTCATATTGAGCCGAGACTTTATTTCTTGGCTCTTGCACATCTTAAAGATTCCAATTTTAAAGCAGCTCTATGGCTGTTGCAGTTTACAGATCAGAAGACTTATTTTAGGCACACAACTTTAAACAAACTACAGTGTGTCACTCAAAGCCATTTAATGCTTAGGCAGTACTTCATTTCTCAATTATGCTTCCTAGACTTAATGCACAGGCTGTACAGAGAGCCATACATAAAGCCTTGTCTGTCTGTGTGTGTGTGTGTGTGTGTGTGTGTGTGTGTGTGTTAAAAAACACAAGCAACTTCATTCTTTAAAGTTTTGTGAGGAATTGATCGTGTTAACCAGTGCCATTTTTGTACAAGCGTATAGCAGGAACGATGGGGAAATATCCATTGTGCTGCTGCTGCTTTTTTCTTCTTTTTCAAAAAATAGTAATAGCTTCATTTAACAGGAGCTGCTATTTCTGGCATTTATTATTGTCAGAACAACTGCACAATATATCACTAACAACTTGCCAAAGAATTTTTAAAATGTTCTTTTTCTTTTTTTTCTGTAATTTGGTAAATTTATAAATAAAACATTTTTAAAAATCACTAACAACATGCAAATAGTTATTCTAGTCTCTGGATGGGTAGTAGAGTTTGTAAGCTATAGAAAAAAGTATAGTCTTCAGGCTTGTTTTCTTTAAAAAAAACCTAGGGGGTTGGTTTTTTAACTGACTGGTTCCATGGATACTCCACTGTGAAACCAAAATACAGTGGTACCTCGGGTTAAGTACTTAATTTGTTCCGGAGGTCTGTTCTTAACCTGAAACTGTTCTTAACCTGAAGCACCACTTTAGCTAATGGGACCTCCCACTGCTGCCACGCCACCAGAGCACGATTTCTGTTCTCATCCTGAAGCAAAGTTCTTAACCTGAAGCACTATTCCTGGGTTAGCGGAGTCTGTAACCTGAAGCGTATGTAATCTGAAGCATTTGTAACCCAAGGTACCACTGTATTGTGTGTGTCTCCCAGCCTTGCCCCCATTTGTCTTTTTTTTTATTTATTTAAAAAATTGGCCATGCCTATTTGGACATTCAGCACCTTGACATTCCCTCCATGTGGCCCTTGGCCTGAGAAAGGTTAAGCTTGCCTGCTGTAATGCTTAATCACTCATGCGGTGCCTGATCAGGCAAATGGACAACTGATAGGCAGCACATGCACATGTTGTGTAAGGGATCAGAGCTGTTTATAGACTGTATGGAATCCTTCCCTCAGTATCTTTCTTTCCCCACTCCATTGAGAATGATGAAAGGAGATCTCTGGATGAATTGCATTTTCTGTTCATTGTAGATTTCTATCCCAACATCAGAAGACTCCCTGGAAAAGACTCTGATGTTGGGAAAGATTGAGGGCACAAGAAGAAGGGGACGACAGAGGACGAGATGGTTGGATAGTGTCTTCGAAGCTACCAGCATGAGTTTGACCAAACTGCGGGAGGCAGTGGAAGACAGGAGTGCCTGGCGTGCTCTGGTCCATGGGGTCACGAAGAGTCGGACACGACTAAACGACTAAACAACAACAACAACAACTAACTAGAGAGGAGATGAAGCTCTTCTTGAGCTTTGAGGACTGACCCATCTCAACATAACATTGATAAAGGACATTTAAAATTCTTTGTTATTCTGAGCATTGCAGTTAACAAACTGTAATAAAAAGAAGTGAGTGCTGCTAATCTGGATCTAGTGGGGCTCAGGGCAAAACGCTGAAAATCAGCCTATACTTTTGCACCAGCATAAATAAGTGTCTGCCCAGCTAGCTCCGTTAGTAAATGTCTGCATGGCATTTTCAGGTTTGCTGTACCTGACAGAGGAATGCACTCTATATCAACCCTAACACTGAGTATAGAGCATTCACTCTTAAAATACCTCTTTGATAGAACAAGGTGCACTGTGGCCAAGGAAGCACAACCCCCTGCCATTCAAGTGTCTCCCCCAGCACCTTGCTTCCAAATGTCTCCAGTTTGTCTGGAAAGGAAAGCTAGTACTGGACTACGTAGTCAGAAAGGTCTGGAAAGCAGCAAGCTTCCACTGGCTGTTCTCTATTAAACATAGACCACGAGAGTGTTTCCTATTTAGCAGGTTTGGGGTCTCTGGAATATGTACACCCTCTACTATCTGCCCGGTTGCAATCTAATTAAGCCTTTCTTGTGAATTGCTTAGAGACTGTGGTAATTAAGCAATATATAAACTGTTGAAGTAAATACAAATAAATGAAAACACACCTATCGATTAGCTTTCTAGGAGCCTAAAGAGGGACAGCATAATAGAGGAAGCAATGTACTGGTAAAATAATATATTAAATACAAACCATTAAGGTTTGGGACCTGCACTCAAAAAGATGCCACAACATTGTGCACCCCACTTGCCCCAAACCTATGCTAGGGAAAGGAAAATCTTACCAACTCTGTTGCTACTAGTCTTTTCTTTTGTCTTAAGGGGGAAAAATACTGCATGAAGCCAGTACTCGTGCTCCTGTTTCATAGCCTTCACCCAGGAAAGTTTCATATATGGGGCTCAAGCCTTACCTCATCCCATCTTTTCCAAAGTTATCTCTTACTTTGCCACCTTTTGGAGGAACTGTGTTTAACCTCAGAAATTTATATTGTAATCATGACTTCACAATGAATTATTTTCAGGCTTTAGGTAGGCTTTCACTTCTCTTCCAGTATTTGGTGTTCCACGCTTTGCCATTGTATTTGGGGGGGGGGAATTGCAAGTGTAGGCATTAAGATGTTGACATGAATGGCAGTTGAAAGCCTGCAGCCTGGGTTGAGGTGGTCATGTGAACATTGCACTCTTCCTAACACTTGCCTGACAATTTAATGACAACAGCTCTTAAGAGTGTTCATAAAAGTGTCAGAAGCATGTCATAGAAAGGAATAATGCTCATCTGATGTCAATGCGAGTGGTTCGGATTGAAACGCTCCCAACAGCATGAGTGTGAAAGTGCCTCAAAAGTTGCAGTATCTGCCAGGCTGGAGTATAGGTGACGTAGATCTTGCTGCAGAGCCAACTGAGTACATCTTCAGGCTCATAATCAAGCCTACTAAGTGGCTGTGGGAGGCTGTGTCTCCATAGCATTCTCAAGGAACTGCTTGGTGGAGTTGCATTGTGTGGCTGGAAGATTGCTTACCTTGACCCAGGGGGCAAACCTCTGGAGCACATGGTGACCAAATGGCTAAACTCTTTCAGGATACAGGCACTCGACTATTGCGGTGATTTAGATGCTGGTGTTGTGGCAGTGCCAGCCAAGGTCCAATGCAATGTCGAGGCCAGCATTGTGGGATCAGTTCCAGTTAATGTGCCCTGATGATGTGGACGGGATACTTGCAGTGATGTACTTGACCACCTGCAAGTTAGACGCTTGTCCATTTTGCCTTATGAAAGCTAGCCGGAGTGGGGTGACGGAATGGGTGATAAACACAGCCTTGCATGATGGGAGTGTTGCCTTTGTCCTTAAAGAGGCTGTGTAGTGTTCACTTCTTTAAAAGCTCACTCTAGACCAGGTTTCCTTAACCTTGGCCCTCCAGATGTTTTTGGCCTACAACTCCCATGATCCCTAGCTAGCAGGACCAGTGGTCAGGGATGCTGGGAATTGCAGTCTCAGAACATCTGGAGGGCCGAGGTTGAGGAAGCCTGCTCTAGACCCAATGGAGTGTAATTACTATAGGGTGGTCACCAAAACCCCTTTCTTGGTGAAAGGATGGTTATGAAGCAACAGCAAGTATTCTTGGATGAGACTGATTACCTAGGTCCACTACAATATGGGAACAGACCCGGCATTGGTTCACCAGATGGATGAGCTTTCTTGAGAAAGAGAGAGCCAGGGAGTCCAACCGTATTATTTCCGCTTGACCCCTCAAGTGGCTTTTAACATCATTGACCGTGGTATCCTCCTGGACCAACTCTGTGGGAGGGGACACTTACTCTTATCTTTAGTGTCATGTTCAGAAAGTAGTCATGGGTGAGTGAAGCTCTTCAGAGTGGTCATGAGGAGTTTTGGAGCAAGGTGTCATTCATGAATGGGTTTGCTTACGGATAAGGCCCACAGCCTAGCTTTTTCCCATGTTACAGCTGTATCTTTGTATGTATATTTTCATCCAATGTATGAAGGTGAGCCACAAAGAAGCTAGAGAGGAACATGGACAAAAACAATTCATGAGCAACAAGATGTGGTGGTAGGGTATGACATGGGGCTGTTGCAGTTCTAATGTAGCTTTATTGGGTGAAAGGCTTATTTTAGTGGTAGGGCACATGCTATGTCAGGTCCCAGGTTTAGTATCATGTCTGAAACCCTGGAGAGATGCTGGTGACCTCTGGGGATAATAGTGAGCTAGATGGCCAGCGATCTGACTTGGTGTATGACAGCTTACAATGTTGCCATGAAACAGCAATTGCACTAGCAGTTGCATTGCTGTGCATAATTTTTAAAGAACCTCAACCTATAGCAACTGGCTAGCAACACGGTACTGATTGCATGGGCCTATGTATGCAGGCGGAGACCATTTTGTGTGTGTTCAGTTGAGGTGGGTCATTTTGGACCTGGAAGGTGGTGGAATGGGGGCCGGGCCTGCTGGGCTTTTGCACACTCTGCCAACAAGCGCAATGACCCAGAATGCACTTCTCCCTGTTACTATAGTACTGACCAGTAAGCTATATGTCATTTTGTTGCACCTTTAATTTTTCTTCCTTCAATATTATGGAATAGTTGATGGCCAAACTACTCTTTGAAAAGCTTGCTGAAAACATTTCTGTTTCAGCTGTCCTATCCAGACACGTGATTTGGTTACACTTGTTTTTAAATTTGTTTTAAGTGCTTAATTGTTTTTAGGTGTATCCTTAACCAGCTTTTAAATGTTTTAAATACATTTTTATACTTTTAAATTGTTTGCTTTGGTTTTTTTTTATCAAAGAATTGTTTGTTGCCCTAGGCTCCCTTGGAAGAAAGGGCAGGATATAATTTTATTTATTTATTTAAAAAATGGTAAGGATAACACTGATCATTTTGACCTTTCTTACTTTGTTGACATGTTGTATGGTTGATAAAAAATGAATGTGCCCAGAAGTAGTTTGCATTCACTTTCTCTTGTACTGACACAATGCATAAAATTGCAAGTGCTGCAGAATTAAAATTCAGGTGAAGAATGGGGGTGGGGGAGGGTGTGCAGATTGCCTTATTTGAATATTATTTAAATCCTGCTTTTGATACTGCTGTCTCATTGTGCATCTCTCACACGTGCACACAGTGATGCTCATTTGCAGCCTTTACTAATCAGTTATTATGGAGCAAATACCACATCTATAAATAAAGGGCAGAGCTTTGTAAATCAGATGACAGAAATGATCGTGCTGGGGGCGGGGTGGAATTCCTGTGACTTACTTGGAGCTTTTCAGAACCACTAAGGCAGCTAACAAAAATAGTTTTCTGTCTTTTCAACTTTCTTTCAGTAAATTTAGAACATTTGAGTACACGTTTCACATGTTTGCTTTCAACATGGTCATGTCACTATCAGATGACTGTAATGTATCTGTTTTTGTGTGGCGAATGGGTATTTTTGAATGCCCCTTATATGGTGCCAGCTGTTTTCCAGCAGCTTGGAAGAAGTTTATTGATTTCAGTGTGTCTACTCTGAGTATGACTAACATCAGTTACCATCCAACTTGTTAATTTGGGGGAGGAGATCTTTTTTTAACCGAAGTGCTTGCAATCTTGTGATAAGTGGTGATGTAAATAGACCCTGAAGCTAAACAGAAGTAGGGAATGGAAGCAGGCAAGCCAAATATAATGACGAGGGGGATTCCCATGTTAGGTCAGTTTGAAAGTAAATCAAGGTGTCCTGAACAAGTTGGAAAAGGAATTCTTTACTGTCTGCCTTACTTCTAACTTGTGATGATAAAAATGCATGTCCAGTGCTTTCTACTGAGATGTGACCTAATCTTTTGAGTAGAAGGTTCTGTGCATGCCTTGCCAACTTTCTGAATGACTAGGTGGGCCCACAAGAAGGTCACACTCTGTTGTCTCCAGCCCAGCTCATGGTTAAACTTAACAGTCACTACGCAGTCAGTTAAAAACGCTCTGGCCTTTTTAAAGGGGATTTCCTCGCCTATTTTCCTATGACATTGTATCAGTTAAAATCTACTCAGCCCCCTATTTCCAAGTTTACCCAGTAATTATTTACACGAGTAACAGAGCTTGTCTTCAGGGGGACTAACTTGATAGGCTAAAGTCTAGCTTCAGTTGTAAGAAGCAATGAAAAATTTATATCATATCTAAAGTTTAAAATGCAGGGTAGAGGGAGTGATCGAATACTGCAGTCAGAATGGATTGCCCACAGAATTTCATCAGCTGCAGGGAAAATGTGAAGCCATTTAATCTTTGGTTCCAGATACTCTGCACAGTTACAGAACCAAATGACATCAAATTGAGTTCAAGTTCCCTGGAACTGTAAACCCCCCCCCCCCCATACAACAGACCTGAATCCCTTTCAAGTATTTGGTCCTTTTCCTCATTTCTGCTGCTGCTTATGTTTTCCATTCAAATCAGCATAACCTTTCACATTTTTAGAAGGCCTGTCTGTTACGGTGTTTCCACGCGGTCGCTACCTCCTCCCACTTGTATATCTGCTTATAATTTGCTGTGATAAAACTGACTGCAATCT